GGGACACAGAGTGGGTGGGCGATGCCTCCCGGCTTCCAGATGCTATAAAAACAGACCCGGCCGCGAGGACGAAGAGGAGAGCAGGACGCGGCGGGAGCAGGATGGGGAGCTCGCCCTGGCGCGGACCCTCGCTTTTCCTGCCGGGGCTTTTCGGGGCAACCTTGGACTGAAGGAAACCCCGGCTCCCCGGTGACCTCACCCAAAAGGCGCCAGGCCAGAGATGCCGGCGGAAAACTCTCCGTGTGCCCGCCAGTTTGCCCAGGATTCCTCCATGGTGCCCGTGGGAGCGCTGAGAGCCCTGCGCGGTGGCGAAGGGAGGCGGAGGCGACCCCGGGCGGGACCGGTCCCACCGGGAAGCGCTTCCCCGGGCCGCGAGTCCCGACGCTCAGGCCAGGTACGTGGCGGACAAGGAAGAGAAAAAGGATCCCTGAGCGAGGTAGGGTTTTCCGGGAGCAGCTGGTAGAGGACGCCGTGGAGAGTCTGGCGGCTCTACTTGGGTCTGCAATCACCCCGGGCCCGGTTAACATCTGGCAGTGCCACCCCCGACTGTGCACGCCTGCACTCCGCGCCCCCTCTGATCTCGCTCACACGTCCCCGAGTGGCCGGGAAACGCGGGGATGGAGATAAGTGTCTGGCTGGTGGGGGTCCCCCATCCCCACCCCAGGAGACTGAAGCAGCGGCGCCCCTCTTCACACGGAGCCTCTCTCGGGGTCCGGGATACCCAGCTCTGAGAGCGCCTGCTGGGTATGCTCGGAACGTGGAGCCCTCTCTCCTGAAGGAATGGGCCTTGGATGCGCCTCTGCGTAGGCTCTGTCAGCCTGTCCAGAGCGAAGTGTGCCGTGGCCATCTCTTTGTTACAAGCTAGACACAGACACGACACGTAGAAGACTGGGATGGAAGAGACTGTAGACTCCGAATGGTATTTTTCCCCCTTTCTTTCATGTTTTCCTCCATCTCTCTTCCTCTCTCCTTTCTTTCTCTTCCCTAGCCGCCCCCCACTTTCCACTGTCACTTAAATGTCTCACTTGAGAAGGACGTAGATTTGAGTGTGAAGAGTTATGGTTTAAACTCTTCACATTATGAATTTAAAATGAACTTGCACAATACAGATTGGCTGTATGACGTGATGAATAAAGCTCTATGCTGTGGTATTTGTTTTTCTGTGAATCTACTCATTTCAAAATCGTATAAACACAGATTTAATAAAATGTTTTTAAATGTGCCCTTTATATAATAAACATTTATCTCTAAATTTTGCATACATGCAATTTAAGAATCCAGAGAGCAAAGATTTAGTTCTTCATCTTCCTACACACATACACTTCTGTACTGTTATTTCCTAATTTCCTTTTTCTAAGTGCAATTCCGATACATGGAAATGTGAATTCTGGGAAGCAATAGAACAAGGAGATATTTTCTGGTATGATCGATTCTCAGGAAAAAAAGAATTTTGAAAATTACTTAAGTATATTTATTTTTTTTTGTCTTGTGAGTGCAGTTATTGATAGTATGAAAAAGAAAAACATTAAAAAATACACTTGGAATTCAAAAGTTAATTTTTTTTCACATTTTAAGATCATTTATACCTTTAAAAATTCCTGACTCAGAAATAGATAATACTGTCCTATTTGCTAAGTCCAAGATGCTTCATTATTGTTGCCCTGATAAAAGTCTTGGGTAGTGTTGCCCAGAATATTGTTGATAACAATGAATATATAAAACCATGAGTTTATCTAGTTCAAGGACATGCAGAACACATAGTAAAAACTAGGAGAAAATTATGCTCACTTCTGCATTTACAGCACAGTTTCAGACCACTACTTTTGCTTTTTCCCCATTTACTGCATTTATTTATTCATGTTTTGACTCAGAGAATACTGTCTCTTCCCTGCAAGCAAGCTGGTCTTCTCTTACAATTCCGTGTGTAAATGACCAATTTATGGCAGTACATCAAAGAAAACTTGGTATTTTAGATTTAATTTTAATTTACAAATAAAAAACTTAAATTGACTAGGTAATCCAAATTAAAGGCCTATACAGACAAAATAAATTTGTTATTAATATTGGTTTAATCAAAATTCTTATGTCTTGCTCCAAAAGACTTAGTGTTTATATCTCCATTATGTTATAGTTTAGTCAGCATCTTCAGGTAATCAGTTTCAATGTGCTAATGACTATGGGATGTATGTTTTTTTTTTTTAATCTGCATCTGTAACCTTCAATAATTTATACTCTGGATGCAAATATAGCATAAGGACAATTACAATAAACTACAAAAAGTTGGGCGTGGTGGGGCATGCCTGTAATCCTAGCACTCAGGAGGCTGAGGCAGGAGGATCGCTGTGAGTTCGAGACCAGCCTGGGCGACATAGTGAGTTCCAGGTCAGTCTCAACTACATAGTGAGACCCTGTCTCAAAAAACCAAAGAAAACAAAACAAAACAAAACAAAACAAAAAACAGAAAACAAAAAACAAAAAACAAACAAAAACAACAAAAAAAAAAACTACAAAAGCTGTTTTTTTTCTAGCCTTAAACTGAACCAAACTTAAGTCCTACCTTAGCAGATGAGGAGTATTGGTTCTCTCTTTGTATTCCAAACTTCAGTTAAAATAGCAGCTGTTTTGCTATTTTTTTATGATTCTATGTATTGAATAGGCTTAACTGTGTTGTTCTGCTGCACATGACAGAGTGCAAGACCTGGGGTCGGTCTAGGCTGGCAAAGATGGATAGCAGTGGACACTGACTGTTGGTTGGAAGATCTATCATGAAGCATCCAATTATAGCTTCTAGTCCTCCTCCACAGAACCCAATGCAAATGACCTGTGCTTCTGATAAAATGGCAGGGGGGATCCGTATAAGATCGTCCCAAAAACATGTATGTCAGGAGGGAGAAATTAAAACAAAAAACTGAAAAGTCCTCTTAAAGGCTAAGCTGAGAGTTGGCACAGCCTGCCTTCTGCGGTCATCACAGGACTGACCTGGCTTTCAGGAGTGAAATGGATGTGGGGGGATTCAATGGACATAGTAGCGAGAGATTTGATGACGAATGTGTGGCCATCTTTAATGTGCTAGAGACACCCAGAGGCACAGAGATGTGAACTCCTAAGAAGAAGAGGATAATGAAGAACAGCAAGATGATAATGGAAACAGTATTCACAGTAGTGCTGAATCGAATTATTCAATTGCTAGGAAAATAAAGAATTGACTTGCTTTCATTTCTTTACCTTATTTAAAAGTAAAAAGAAAAACTCATGATGACAGGAATTGAAGATAATTTGAAAGAAAAATCCTCTTGATTTCATTATGTTAACAAATAGTATCAAATAAATTAGTTTAAAACTTTACATCTGAAAAGACAAAGCCTGTTGAAAGTCTTTAGTTGATTCAGCAAAATCTTTGAAGTATCTATTTTTTTCTCAACATTCTAGAGTTTGAAATTGATATGTATTTGTTCTTAAAATTAGCAGGACTCATGCCCTAGTACAACCACTATGGAACATGGAGAATCCTGGTAAGACTAAAACTAGAAATACCGTTCAACTAAATCATTACCCTTCTGGATATTTTTCCCCAATGAGTTAAATATATAATATCACATACATATCACATCACATGACACATGCCTAATCATGCTTATGACAGCACAATTCGCGATAGCTAAAGCTTGGAGGCAAATTCTATGTCAGTGATTGGGAACGTTTTAGCGCTTTCCATAATACAAACAGCCTGCTGCAGAGTGTGTGCTACAGGTTCACCACTGCTGCTTTTTGTCCGTCAACAAATGAATGAAGAAAATGTGGTACTTACCCACAATGGCGTACTACCCTGCCACAAAGAAGGATAAAGTGGTGTCATTTGCAGGAAAACAGATGCACCTTGAGACCATACAACTTAAATGTCACATGGTTTCTTGAGTATGGGTAACCTAAAGAACAAAATAAAAGATGCATCATAGGAAGTAGGGAGGTAGATCTTTCTCAAATGAGAAGCAGATTAAGAGATGGAGGGAGGAGAAAGAAGGCGGAAAGAAGGCAATGAAAAGAAATTAAGATGTGTTATGTACGTTTACAAACTGCCCACAGGAACATAAACGTTATGTACTACAGATATACACTAATAAAAATTTTTGACTGTATATATTATAAACTATCACTGAAGCAAAACTTTGTTTCACCTTCCATCTTAAAATATTAGCATTTATTTTCATTTGAATATTAGCGTTTTGTAATTTTTTATGAAAAAAATTTAGAAAGTAAAACAGAAAGATAATACAAAAGATTTTCTGGAATATAAAAAAATTTCAAAGTTTTAATAGAGAGAAAATTACTAGGACATGTTATCCATTTATGCTTGATTAAGTTCTTTACACTTTTGAAAGTAATTCTGTAATGAGAAAGAAATATGAATGTGCTAAATAGCAATTTAAATAAAACTAAATTTAAATTATACAAGTTATTTCATCCAATTAAATGACGAATATTACAGGAATTCTCTTCAATCAACTTATATATTAAAATGTGCAATTGCCTAGTCTCTATCATTACTGAAATTCATGAAAACCCTGAGTCAATTTCTCTCTCCCACTCTCTCTTTCTCTCTCTCTTTCTCTCTCTCTCTCCCCCCTCTCATTTTTCTTCTTAAACATTTGTCTGTTTTAAACATTTTGATGAACTTTTCATCATGATGAATGAGTCAAAAGTTGATTGCAATTAAATGTGGTACAAATTAGAAAGCTATAAATGGTAAAATTAAAAGAGAAGTTTGTCTACTTGACCTAAATGTTCTCTACCTAGGCAAGATCCTTACCATAGGGAATTTGAACATTTAAATTTACCTTAATTAATAGAAGATACCCTGATTTAAAGATATAGTTTCCTTGGGAATTGTTTCAACACTAAGATCCCCACATAAATCTGCAGGTGCTCAAGTCCCTTATACAAAAT